TAGTCAGTGGTCCTAGATTTTAGAACATTTACATGAATCTAATATCATCCTCTGCTTTTGAAACAGGAGGTCATGTATGGATATGCTAGCCTCAAACTAACTACATAGCAGAGGATGACCTTCAACTCCTGATTCTCCTCCCCTCTTCCAACAGCTTTGCACCACCATTCCTAAACTATGTGGTCCTGGGGAATTAACCAAGGGCTTGGTTTGCACTGGGCACTCTACCCCATGAGCCAACATCCTCAGGCTCTAGAATCATTCACTCTTTTTAAAAAGTAGGTTTTAAACTTTGTTACTGTGTGTGTATATGATGGGGTGGGTACATGCCACTGAGCACTTGTGAAGGTGAGAGAACTTCGCAGTCAGTTTCTCTTCTATCTTTACATGGGTTCTGGAAATCAAACTCAGGTCCTCAGGCTTGCAGCAACCTTTACCCACTGAGCCATCTCACCAGTCCCCCAGTATCATTCGTGCTTAGTTTACATTTAAAGATAATTCCAGAAAGCAGACAACATGGAAATTATTTTACTTTATATTTATATTTGATGTACTATTTGGGGGGAGGAAGGTACAGGCTCTCATGTTGCCTAGGCTGTCCTTAAACTTGTTATGTCGCAGAGGCTGGCCTGAACTCCTGATCCTCTTGCCTCAAGTGCCTCACTCAGTTCTGGGATTACAGGCATGTACTGCCAACAATGTAGATTTTACAAAAGATAAGATAGGGTATATATGTATGAGGAAAGGCAGTCTGTAAATACCATTAAGGTTCAGAGTGTTTTGATTGATCTCATCACTACCAGAAAGAAAATACTAGCATAAATTGATATCATACCTGTATACATCCCTATACATAATTAGGGATACAAGATGAGATGAAGCAAATATTTGAATAGTTTTGGACTAAAACAGATTTTAAAGTTGATATAAAAGACTAAGTCCAGGGCTGGAGAGCTGGCTTAGTGGTTAAGAGCACTAGCTGTTCTTGTATAGGATACAGGTTCGATTCCCAATTCCCAGCACCCACATAGCACCTAATAACCTTTAGTAACTCCAGTTCCAGGGGACCCAATGCCCTCTTCTGGCCTCTGCAGGCATTGCATACATGGTGCACATAGATGCATGCAAACACTCATGGATTAAAAAAAAAATTAAATTTTAAGAAAAGGACTGCGTCTATATGTAGCCCAGACTGGCCTACAATTCACAGAGATCCACTTGCCTCTGCCTCCCAACTGCTGGCTCATTTTTATTTCTTATCGTCTTAATCTTAGAATAACAATTAACTTCAGTAACCACTCTTTTGAGGGAAAGAGGCTGAGGAGGTTAAAAAATGGCAATGTATTTATTTGCAAACTGCTTAGAATTTTAAAAATACATTGGAAAAGAAACCAAGCCTGCCATTAACATTGCAGCTTTTTTTTTTTTTTTTTTTTTGGTCTTTTTGAGACAGGATCTCCATGTAGCCCCAGCTGTCCTGGAACTCATTATGTAGACCAGGCTGGCCTTGAACTCACAGAGATCTGCCTGCTTTTGCCTCCCTAGTGCTGGGATTAAAGGCGTGCACCACCACGCCCAGCTGTCATTGCAGTATTCTGTTACATGCAGCCACAGCAGGTAGAATTCTCCCTTTCCAAGGTGTAAAGTTAGGTGCAGGTCACAGTTCTGTCTTAAATTTTCCAACAACTGAAATCTACAAATTGTATCAACCTGAGGACTTAGAATAACTAACCTCTATCATCTGGTGGCCACGTGACTATGAACAGTCATAGATTCCTCAGAAGATAATTCAAAGAACAAGTCTTTTGTGGAATGGCGGTCCTGTTATTCTTTACATTGAAATTACATTGTGATAAATGATAAACAGACTTATACACATAAGCACACACACATTAGAACTAATGGGTTTTATTTCATATACAAAACTGCAATACAATAGGCATTGTTACAGTGAATTAAATCAAAGTGGCTTTGAAAAATCTAAATCAACACATAAATCTAAATATTAATGCATGTGTTTGGTTCAACTAAAAACATTGATGCAGCAGGGTATGATGGCTCACACCTTTATTCCAGCACTTCAGAGACTGAGACAGGAGGATCAGGATCACTGCCAGTTTCAAGGGCAGCCTGACCTTCATTTTGAGTTCTAGGACAACCAAGGATAAAGAGTGAGACCATATCTAAACACCAAGCCAAAACAAACCCCAATGATAGCTGGGCATGGTGGCACAACTATGGAGACTGAGGCAGAAAAATGGAGAATTCAAGGCCATCCTGGGCTACAGAACAAGACTGTCACACACGCAAAAAATGCAAACAGTATTCTATAACATGTTTGGGAAAACTGCTTTTCAATCTTAAGAAAAACATTCCACATTACATATTAGAAGCTTTAAATATTCATAAAGTTAAAGGGCCTAAGAATTTTGAACAGGTGTTCTTAATATATATAACTTTACATTAATATATCATGTAGAAGTGTAAAGTCTCTAACAATGCCTCCCACTCAGTAATCTACAACTGCAGAGTTCATGCACATTTCTCATTTTTATGTGCATAACATAATCACACTGCCACATTCATGTCCTTTATATTCAATACTGTGAATATTTTTATTTGAACAATTTTTTTATTGAATGTATTTGATACATTGCCATACACATATTTTTTTTTTGGTATTTTTGAGACAGGGTCTCCCTGTAGTCCCAGCTGGCCTGGAACTCATTATGTAGACCAGGCTGGCCTTGAACTCACAGAGATCCACCGGCCTCTGCTTGCCGGGTGCTGGGATGAAAGGCGTGTGCCACCATGCCCTGAGCACACACATAGCATTTTTATTCAACACTTACATATATTTAAGTATTCTTAAAGTTGTGCGTGTGGGCACAAGTGCAGGTACCTGCGGAGGCAAAAGAGTAATACCCTCAAGCAGGAGTCACAAGTGGTTTTGCGTTGCCCTGACAAGAGTGTTGGGAGCTCAACTTGGGTCCTGAAAGAGGCAGGAAAGTGCTCTCAACTGCTGAGGCATCTCTCTAGCCCCTCAACACATATTTCACACTTGAACATATTTCTTTAATATCTTATTATTTTTATGTGTATGACTGTATTGCCTGCATGTAAGTGCACCCAGGTTGTGAAACACCAGCGGAGGTCAGAAGAAGGAATCAGATCCCCAGGAAGTGGAGTTACAGACAGTTGTTAGCCACCATGTGGGTGCTGGGAATCAACCTGAGTCCTCTACAAGAGCACTCAATGCTCTTAACTATTGAGACATCTCCGGTCTCCACTTGAACATATTTCATACACTATTTATTAAACACACATATGTATATATTAAAAGGAAAAACACTACAGTTTGAGAACATCTTGTTTTTAAAACTTGAAATATCAAAGACTCTATTTCAAGCCTCCACCCCCAAAAGAAAAAAAATGCTAGAAATAGGCTTGAACAAAATATTTTAAGATTTATCTTGTGGAGCACGGTGATGCACACTTGTAATCCCCTGCCTTAGAGAGGCTGAGTCAGGATTGCTGAGAGTTTGAGATCAGTCTGGGCTACGCAGCAGGCCCGTTTCGCAAAAAAAAAAAAAAAAAAAAAAAAAAAAAAAAAGAAAATCACACATTGTAAATCAGCAAATGAGTCTAAACACAGTTTGCTAAATTTAGCTTAATAAAAAATTTAAAGGTCAGGAGTTTAAGGGCTCTTAATTGGAACGTCTCTTTCTGAAAAATTCGACTAAGATCAGTATTATGGGGGGTTCATTACCAGCTCAATCCGCTTAATGATTCTAAATTCCATGTGCGATGTCAACAGCTTCTCTGAAAGTCCTAAAAATTAATTCTAGTCTTTACAGCGGTCTTCCGAGCTGCTCTGTTCGGAGCCGCACGCAGCGCCGGCAGGAGCAGACTCCTCCCCGCTCATGGGGAAAACCCTGCCTAATATTTATAACGCTATGACATACTGTAATACTCACAAGGTGGTTGTAGAAGTATAAACACGACTGGAGTTATCTGATTGGCTGCTGGTGATGTAACACCCATGTCAATACTTCCCAGTGAACGCACGTGTTCGACCTTTTATTTAAATTTCCATTTCATCACAGCAATAAGACACTCTGGGCGGTACGTTTTCTGAGCACCGGTCGTTGCCCGGGGCCAGAGGTGCTGCCCAGCGCACACAATGCACCCGAGGAGGTGTTGGTGGCTCGGAACCCCCTGGTGCCAAAGGCACCGCCTGGTCCAGTCTTTTGTGAAGGAAACAAAATAAGTTCACTTCCTCAGGCACCGCCAGCCGCCCTGGCAGATGACAAGGCTGGAGCGTGGCTGCCAGCGCACAGCTATTCCTAAAGTCTCAGGTGAAGTCGTGGCGAGAGCCCGGCATGTGCGTCTCGGGCGCCGCTCGGTGCGCGCAGCGAAGGGGAGGCGGCCGGTCCCTGACACTCGCCAGCTGTTTGTCCTGCGCCGAGCGCGGCCCCTCCCTGAGACCCCGGCCCCGCGCCCCGCCCGGCCCCCGCCCGCAGCCCGCTTCCTTCCCGCGGAACTGCTACCCCGGTGCATTGTGGGCGCACGGTCCGTTGTTCATTTGCCATTCGACCTCCGCCAGGGCCTGGTCGGACGGAAACGCTCCGCCGGCTTTATTGTCGGATCGCTATGTGGCGGAGCCCGGCGGCTTAACGCGCCTCTCTGTCCGCGCGTCTGCAGCGGGCGGCGGCGGCGGCGCGGCTCCCGGGAGGAAGGATATCGTTGGCGGGCCGCCGTGAGCGCGCAGCTTTAAAGAGGGGCAGCGGAGGGGCGCCCGCACTCCGCCTCAACTTCGAAGGCCGCACGCGCCCGGGCTCGCCGCTCCGCCGCCCGCCCACTTCTCCGCGCGGGACGCTGCCCGGAGCGCGGCGGGGCGGGGGTGGTGAGGACGCGGCC